GTAAGAGCAGATGTTAATGATATGGCAATATCATGCTAATAAGGGAATGATTAAACACTCAATATACCTATCTACTTTCCTTCCAGTATGCTCCAGCTGTCGAGGGACGCTGTGCCAGTGGTTACGTGGGGCTAAAAAATGGTGGTGCCACTTGTTATATGAATTCAGTGTTGCAGCAACTTTTCTTAGTACAAGGTGTACCTGAAGACATTCTTGCTGTCTGTGATGATGACCAGGATGAAGACAGGTGAGAAAGGGACATCAGTTAAATATTGAATAAATATGATTTTATTTAAGGAAAGTTGAAGTGTTTTATTTCTTCATAATAATTTAGGCATAATGATCATAGTAGCTTCTTTGATGCCTCTTGAGACTGGGTTATTTTCTGAAGAATCTGGAAAACTGAGATAGCTTGAACTCACCTCTTTTCTCTTTCGATGCAGTCTGTTTTATCAGCTGCAGACAGTGTTTGGCCACATGATGGAATCACAGCTGCAATATTACATACCTGACAAATTCTGGAAATGTTTCCGAATGGATGGACAGCCTGTCAATGTCAGGGAGCAGCAAGGTAAGGTTTTCTTGAGAGTTTTCATTCCCATATTAGTATAATAACTAAGAATTGTTATTTTGTCTTGTATAACTGAACTACTGGATTGTACTGGGGAAATGTGAATATCTAGCAAATACAGGTGGATTACCATGAACTATGTAATATGTACAACAACATCTATAATAGTTATTTGACTATAGGTATGTTGTAATTGAGCAACTCATCATGGGTTATGGATATTGTTGAGATTTTTTTATTTTTTAGCTAGAACCACCATACAGCTAACTAGATGCTGTCTGAGAAAATACTTAACAAAAGAAAGAAATTATAACTCAGCTGTATTTGCACATGTCTGCTAGGATTCATTATATCTATGTGTGCATTATAATTTTTCTCATTTCCTGCCTACAGATGCTTTTGAATTCTATACAAGATTAACTGAACAGATAGATGACTATCTCAAAGGGCAGAGGCACGAGCGAGTGTTTGCTCATAGATTCGAAGGAGTTTATTCCATTCAAAGAATTTGCCAAGATTGTCCACATAGGTTTGTATTTTGATATATGTGCACAGCTGTAGTTGTCATTTTTCCTGGACAGCTCTTCATAAATGAGAAGAAGGAGCATGCATTCTCTCCCATTATTGAATTTGTTATTTTGTCCATTTTGTTGTTTTTGAGTAAAGCCTTACTTTAGAACTACTGGAATTTATATTGCCTTATTAATGATATATTACTGCTGGGGTAATATAGTTTGGGGAAGTAATGATATTGATTCTTCATAGAATTTTGTATCATATGGATCATAGTGATGCAATAGATTGAAGAAGTTGAAGATGTGTTGCTTAATAATGGTTTTCTGTTGACAGATATGAACGAGAGGAGCCATTCTTAGCCTTAAATCTCACTGTCACCAAGTGCCACGATCTTCAAGATTCTCTCGATCAGTTTGTCAAAGGCGAACTCCTGGAAGGAGACAATGCTTACTACTGTGAAAAGTGCAATCAGAAGGTATGTCTGCTTGTTTTTCAAAGAATTTCCTTGATTTTTTTTTCCTTTTGTTAATAGTAGTCAAATAGTAATAGTAATAATAATAATAATAATAATAATAATAATAATAATAATAATAATAATAATAATAGAAATGTTATTGATACAGTTATTATGCTCATTGATGTTTACAGCTATTATGTTTAGATAAAATGATTTACATTTTAAATAGCTAAAGGTCTAACCCTTTATTATTGTTTACAGAGAACAGCTTTAATACGGACGTGTGTTAAGAGCCTCCCACCTGTTCTTGTTATCCAGCTGAAGAGATTTGGTTATGACTGGGAAGCTTCAAGAGCTCTCAAGTTTGATGATTATTTCAAGGTATACAGATTTTGTGTTGCTCTGCTCTCATGGGCTGATCATACTAACCGGACGTGGTATATACTTATATCTTTTAAATCAGGGAGTAGATATCAAGATCATAAGAGCAAAGAGATGAAGTTTTTTTACAGAAATATTGATATCCATATTTGCAACTGTCTGTCACTTCTTTCTTGTTAGTTTACTGGAAAGGATTTAAATAGCAATTGAGTTTGAAATTTTTTATTGTAATTCAGTCTATCAGAGAGCAAGAGATAATTTCTGCATGAGAAAAATCTTGATAGTTTCTTTTATCATCAGGGTACACAAAGTATTTTTCTTTGATATTCATATATTCATTAACAATAATGAAAATATCATGTGAATTGAGAATTAACATTTTTTGTTCTTTGTACCCAAGTTTCCATGGGTACTAGATATGGGAGCATATACTGCAGAGGGCATAGCTGAACGTGAGGAAGATCCCAATGGCAGTGACGAGCCCGAGATCAGGAGCACCCCATCGCCAAAGGCCAAAGAGCCTCTCCCAAAAGCACTGTCTACTTCCCCTAGAGTTCCACACACTCCAACCAAGTCCAGTCCTTCAAGTGTTACTTCACCTCACACTCCTAGGTGGGTACTGGGTGTGGAGATTATGTAATATATTTCTGTTGTGACAGGTTGTGGCTATGTGTTTGTGTGTATTCATTATCTTATAATTTTTTGATGACAGCAGTTTTCTGTTTTTACCATTTACAGGCTTAATACAAGAGTAAGACATAGGGGGGCAATGTATGAGTTAGTAGGTGTCATTGTGCACAGTGGACAAGCAAGTGCAGGGCACTATTACTCATACATAAAAGATCGTCGGTAAGTACTAACACATTTTTTAATCTTTAGAGTTATAGGATTTATGTTAAGGATATATGTTACAGGGACTTCTTGTAAACTTAGACAAGAATTCAAATTTTTTCTTGATGTATTCGAAAAAGCTAAAGTGAATTCAACTTTCTGGGATGTTATGAGTTTTTATTACATTAAACATTACTAATTTTATAATGATATTTTAGGGGAGATCCACTGACCAATCCGAACAAGGGCAGATGGTTCAAGTTCAATGATACTACTGTTGAGCCAGTAGAAATGACAGATACTCTCCTGGAGCAGGAATGTTTTGGTGGAACATATAAAGCCAAAGTGTCATATGACTCGTGTAAGTATCTGGGTGAGTGAGTGGGCTTTGTTTGAAATAAGTAACTACTTTTTGTAATTTGGAAGTTGTTTTGACTTGATGAGACCTTGGTGCCCAGTGATGCCTATGGGAATAGTAAGCATGTAAATGCCGAATGTAAAAGAGCAAGCAGTTGCATTATGTCTATATTCAGTAATGTTATAGGAAAGCAAGGTGATTCACTCAGGAATAATTTGATTTTAATAAATTTGTCTTTATTTTTTGCAGCAAACCCACTTCCTGAGGACAGGCTTCGATACTGGAATGGCTATATGCTGGTGTATGATAGCTTAGATGACAGAATGACGACTCCAAAGACCCCAAAGACTCCAAGGGTGGGAGTCTCCTCCAGATCCTTCAGAGCGTCAACTAGCAGGTTTGTGTGGCAAGAGGCTCTTGGAACGTATATCAACTATTTAAGAATGCTATGGTCTCCTTTGTGACATGGGGACTGTTGCACTTGGTTCAATTTAAAGATTAGGCTGAAAAAATATATTCTTGAGCGTGTGGGTTGGGTGTTCATACTCTCACTTCTTTTACAGTGCAAAGAAGAGTTTATCCATGAGCGGTAGCAATGAGAGAAGAGCACGTTCTAGTTTGTGTGAACTGAGTCAACTGTTGCAGCAAGGAGAGAAGCAGGGCATGTTCCGTGAACATATGCCACCCCGCATCTTGTCGTCTATCACCCATGATAATCTCACTTTCTTGAAGAATAGGGATGTCTACTCTTCTGACTATTATAACTTCATACATCATTTATGCTCAGTTAACTTGGTGAGAAGGAACTTTAGTAATGTTTTCATTTATATATGTATATATATGTGTGTTTCTTTGTTGTGTGTGTGCTTATTTGTTGTGGGTTATTACAAGGTATTCCAGTGTGATTTAAAATTTTTGTCTATTTTTTTTCCAAAAGAAATAATTCTGATTTTGCTAGATTTTAATTGATGTTTTCCTATCTTTAGGAAAAGAGTCAGAATGGTGTATCCAGCATCTTGTGTGTACAAGCAGTTCACCTTGGCCTAAACTTCCTGCTGAACACATACCTGCGTACAAAAGACAAAGAAGAGGGAGTGATCAGCCAGTGGGTCCAGCTCATTCAGTCATTGTGCACGCAGTCTAAAGAAGCTTGCAGTTGGGTCATTAACTTCTTTACTGCTGAACACGGATCGGTCCATATATTACCACTGCTACTGGAGTGTCCTAATAAAATGATACGAAGCCAGTTTGGGTAAGCAGAATGTGACAGAACAGGTTAAGAGTGTGAGTTTCTGACTTGTGAGATAATGGAATGTGTTGCACTTTTTATATTACTTAATTGTAGCACTTAATCTGATTTTTTTTATTACAGGAACCTCTTGGACTGTATCTTCAAGGCAGAGTATGAACATGCTGGCAATGTTAACAGCATTGAGCCAATAATAAAGCATCTTATATCATCATTAGCCTCTGATGTCCCTTCCATGGTCAAGACCTCACAGCAGTACTTCTTGCTTTTACAAAACTATTGTCAGCAGGTAAGTGATTTTACTAATTGATTGTTTATCATTGTAATTATGAATATATTATGCAATTTGGTCTCTACACTGGTTTCTTAGGGTTCAGTGAAAAAGCAAAATAATTTAAAAATAAGTAAGTTGTAATTAACAGATATTCTTCACATATTTTGTAATGGTATATCGATAGGCAGGATTTATGAAATCTTCTAATTTATTAATATTTTGAATAGAAAGAAAAACACCCCTGAACAATTCTGTTTCTTTTCAGGGACTCACACACTGTTCGCAAATCTTAAGTTTGGGTGGGTTCTCCTCGCTCCTAAACTTCCTTCTCGGCCCATCCGATTCAGAGAAAAGACGTTGGTCATCTGTACAAGCTCAGGATTTTGGACCACTGCACTCTATCATTTCTACTATTATTTTGTGTTTTGATATGACACCTCACCAGACCTCAGGTAATGATGGTATACTAGAGAAGGGCATGTACTCTTTGAAGTGTTGGTTTCATGTTGGTGGATGGAATAATACAAAAAAAGAAATTACTAAAAAAAAAAAAAAACAATGTAGGAATCTTTCCATCCAAGAATTTTGGATTGAGAATCTTTTGGACTGAGACTAGTAAAAATGAAAAGTGAAAATGAAAACAAATATTTGATCTATATATAAAAACAAAACAAAACTATTTTCTCCTCGTTAACTTGAAATTGTAATGAGTAGTTTTCCACAAACCTGCTTTGCTAAAAAGGAAAGAAAGAAGAGGCAAAAAAAAAAAAAAAAATGAAAGGAAAGAAAGTAAGAGAGAAATACCAATCATTTGTTTTCCCTCAAGGTACAGCTACTCCCAGTGAAAAGAGTGATGAAGACCAGCAGGAGAAGTTGGTCATGCCAGGTGAAGTTGTCCAGGTCTTGTACGGAGGCGAACAAGCACGTTGGCTCCGGGAGGCGGTTGTGGCTTACAGAGAAGTGTCTGGCAGTGTCCCCTTGTTGTCCAAAGCACTTAGGGCAGCTGCAACTGAGAACTTTTCATTTTCAAAAGCACTCATTGCTGCTGTGATGGTATGATTATTTTTGTTTTTGTTTTGTTTATGTGGAAAAAAAAAGTTTGTGTGTTTATGTTATTTCTATCATAAGTAAATGATTAGAAAAATATTGATATACATTAATTTGATTTTCTTGCGTATCTTTTTACAGCATGAATATGCAAAGGCACCCTCTAATATGTTGAAAGACCTTTCTCAGCTTCTGCAGGAGATTCTGGTATGTGTCTTTGTTTCTTTTGTTTAGTTTATATGTACCAAGTGTTCTTCATGCTATTTTTTGAAGGAATATCTTTTCACTTTGATTGGGTAGGAGCAATATGATTTTTAGAATATAAGTATTGAAATTTGTTAAAAGGTTTATGTATGTTTCTCTCGCTGTCTCTCGCTCTCTTACTCTCTCTCACTCTCTCTCACTCTCTCTCACTCTCTCTTTCTCTCTCTCACTCACTCACTCACTCACTCACTCACTCACTCACTCTCTCACTCACTCACTCACTCACTCACTCACTCACTCACTCACTCACTCACTCACTCACTCACTCTCTCTCTCTCTCTCTCTCTCTCTCTCTCTCTCTCTCTCTCTCTCTCTCTCTCTCTCTCTCTCTCTCTCTCTCTCTCTCTGTCTTGGTCTCTCTCTGCCTGTGTCTGTCTGTCTGTCTTTGCCTCTGTCTCTGTCTCTGTCTCTCTCTGCCTGTGTCTGTCTTTGCCTGTGTCTGTCTGTGTATCTCAGTGTCTGTTTGTCTATCTGTCTGTCTGTCTCTCTCTGCCTATGTCTTTCTTTCTTTCTTTCTTTCTCACTTTCACATTTTCTCTCTTTCTTTCACTCTTTCTCTTTCTCTCTTTCACTCTTTCTCTTTCTCTCTTTCACTCTTTCTCTTTCTCTCTTTCACTCTTTCTCTTTCTCTCTTTCACTCTTTCTTTCTCTCTTTCACTCTTTCTCTTTCTTTCTTTCTTTCTTTCTTTCTCACTTTCTCTTTCTCTTTCTCTTTTTTTCTCTTTCTCTTTTTTCTCTTTCTCTTTTTTTCTCTTTCTCTTTTTTTCTCTTCTCTCTTTTTTCTCTCTCTCTCTCTTTTTCTCTCTCTCTCTCTTTTTCTCTCTCTCTCTCTTTTTTCTCTTCTCTTTTTCTCTTTCTTTCTCTCTTTTTTTCTCTTTCTCTTTTTTTCTCTTTCTCTTTTTTTCTCTTTCTCTTTTTTTCTCTTTCTCTTTTTTTCTCTTTCTCTTTTTTTCTCTTTCTCTTTTTTTCTCTTTCTCTTTTTTTCTCTTTCTCTTTTTTTCTCTTTCTCTTTTTTTCTCTTCTCTCTCTCTCTCTCTCTCTCTCTCTCTCTCTCTCTCTCTTTCTCTCTTTCTCTCTTTCTCTCTTTCTCTCTTTCTCTCTTTCTCTCTTTCACACACACACACACACACACACACACACACACACACACACACACACACACACACACACACACATATATATTACATGAATACACATATATATTGCATGAATACACATATGCATGATCATTATTATTATTTTATTTTTCAACTATACCATGGAAGAAAGAATTGTAATATAGTTTATCATTTCCAGCAAATTAGTGATTCCCTGCAATCTAGTCGCACAACTGCAGTTCTAGAAGGCTTTGCAAGTGCAGATACCGAAAACATTATGGGTCTATTAGGTAAGTTATGCTGTTCATGTGATTGTGAATAATATATTTTATAATTTTACATTTGTTCTGTGAATTATTGTGTTATGTAGTCTTTTTGCCTTTTTTGTTGGCAAATTAATTTTATTTTTATATTTTTAAAATGATCTTTTCACAATGCATTATTAGGTAAGTTAT